TCACTGCAATGTTAACTTCAGCTGTCCAGATAAAGGAGAAAGAATTTGCACGAGAGAAATGGCTATATAAATGCGTATCATTAGGTTTGGGATCTGTCTGATATTTATTTTTGTGTATATCAAACCTTGGCAGATTTTTACATAGCAATGTTACAGTTTAGTCTTCATGGCAAGCAGCAAATACCTGCTAGTTAGCTAGTAAAAAACAAAACCCCAAACAAATTTTAAAAACCCCCTCAGCAACAATAAATGTTCATTGCATGAACCCTGTTCCTGAGAACTGTGGAGTGCCAGCAGCAATTTGTTTTGCATGACAAACAGAAACAAATACAAAATCCTGGAACAAGCCAGGACACTTGCATTGTTTTCAGTGAAATGAGGCTGGCTCAGCAAGTCTGACCTACTTTGTGCTTCAGCTCTGAAGCTGCCCTCCTCAAGCCAGTGCTCCGACAAGCTGACCAAGGGAACAAGGAAGTAGCCTGGGAACTTGAGTGCAGAAAAAAAACCCTGGCTTAGCCCTTAGCTGCCCTCCTCAAGCCAGTGAGGAAGGCAAGCTGACCAAGGGAACAAGGAAGTAGCCTGGGAACTTGAGTGCAGAAAAAAACCCCTGGCTTAGCCCTGTTATTTTACTCAGCTGGACTGGTTTTGTATCTCAGCAGCTAATTATATATATTTATTGGAACACTGGTCTTTCTTCAGTTGATTGTGGAAAAAATGAGTGGCATTTAAATAGTCTTTAAAGCACCAGTCAGGCCCAGAGGGTGGCGATTGATGGAATGAAGTCTAGTTGGAGGCAGGCCAGTAACGAGGGAGTTGTCCAAGGGGTCAGTTGTGCCTCCAGTCCTGTTTAACATCCTCATTAATGATCTGGATGATGGGACAGAGTACAAAGCCTGATGATGACACAAAACTGGGAGGAGTGGCTGATACATCAGAGGGCCATGCTACCTTCCAAAAGGACCTAAACAGACTGGAGAAATAGACTGGCAGGAACCTCATGAACTTCAAGAAAGGGAAGTGCAAAGTCCTGTTCCTGGGGAAGAACAGCCCAGGTGCTAGGATGGGCTGGGGCCAGCTGGCTGGAAAGACACAAAGTAGAACAAAGGGCTGATGGTACCCTGGGCTGCAACAGGAGCAGTGTTGCCAGCAGGTCCAGGGAGGTGGTGCTGCCCTCTGCTCAGTAGTGGTGAGGCCACACCTGGAGTGCTGTGTCTAGGTCTGGGCTTCCCAGTGCAAGATGGGCGTGGACATACTGGAATGAATCTGGTGGAGAGCCATGAGGATGATGAAGGAACTGGAGCATATTTCCTATGAGAAGAGGCTAGAGAGCAGGGACTGTTCAGCCTAGAGGAGAAAGCTCAGAGGGTGATATTGATGTCTGTAAATACTGAGGGGATGGTACAAAGAAAGCAGAACCAGTGGTGGCCACTAACAGGACCAGTGGCAACAGGCACAAACTGAACACCAGAGGTCCCCTCTGAACATCAAGAAACACTTACTCACTGTGAGGGTGACCAAGCACTGTCACAGGTTGCCCAGGGGTGCTGTGGGATGCTCATCCTTGGAGATATTTAGAAGCTGTGTGGACATGGTCCTGAGCATCTCTAGGAGGCCCTGCTTGAGATCTAGACCAGGTGACCTCCAGAGGCACCTTCCAACCCCAGCCATGCTGTGGTCTCACAGCTGTGTATATTTAATGGGGAAAAATATTTTTTCTTCAAAAACAAACCAAGAGAAAGATAATTCAAGGTAAATTAATATCATGTTCTCTACTTCTTAATCTGTCCTTTTTTCCTGCTTAAGTGTGACACTGCCCAGTTGCTCTGCAGTGTTTCACAACCACCTGCTGAGGAGGGACCTTTAGTGCCACCTTTGCTCCTGGTGAAATGGCATGGGTGAGGGGTGGGCTCCCTGTCCCCTGTGACTGAAGCTGAAGGGGACAGAGCAAGGGAATCTCTGGCCCTGATTTCAGTAGGGGAAAGGAAGAAAAATACTTCAGCTGGGAACTTGAGCTATTTCCTGCATCTGTGATGTTTGTCTGTGGAACCTGGTTGTCAGTGTACTAGTACTGAGAGGGGAAATGCAAGGTGGAAGAGTATGGGTGGAGGGATGGCAGTGGTTTTCACCCAGAGCCCTTAAAACATTTTCCCAAAATCATGGCAAACACTTGTCACCGTGAAGCCACTTGAAAAGAGAATTGTTTCTTCCTAACAACTGCAGAGGGGAAGTTTAAAAGCAATGACTAGTTCTTATTGAGCTATCCATGCATGTATGTACTGGGGGGCATCAATGCAATGCCTTTTCTCTCAGCATTGACTGATCCTTTTTGAGTTGCTTCCTACCAAAATGTTTTTGTAGTTACAGTGAAGAATGGAAAAACATTTCTGGCCAGTCAGCTTGTAAAGGGGAAACTGAGCATCCCAGAAGTTTTGTTTTGAGCACTGTTCCTTTGGCAGGGAAAACAGTGATGGGAGAAATGGGAAGATTTTCCTTAGTGGGGATGTCAGTCAGCTTCCCACTCCTTGGGAAGATTGGTATCTGGAAGGCATTTCCTGCCGCACGTACCAGTGCGGATATTGCTGGAGCACTCTGATGGCAGCATGTGTAAGCCAGCCTGCTCCAAGAGCTGACAAACTCCTCTGAGACAGTGTACAGCCAGTCCCTCGGGAGCCTGTCAGACAGGATGCAAGGAAAAGGGACAGCTGAAAGGGAAAAAGCATTCTGGGCAGAGTAAGGAAAGAAATCCAATTGAAAAAATATCTCTCCAGTACTATTTCCAGAGCAGAAAATTGCTGTGTTAGGAAAGCTGTATTTAGTAGTTAGTAATGGGGGAGGTGAGAACTTCTAGAGGAAGAAGAAAACACCTATTTTGAGAAATCATATTAAAACCCAGTAGCCTTCCATTCTCTTAACTCTGTTTTCAAGTGGATGTTTTCAGTTATCATTAATCATTGCAGCTCAGTTCAGTCATTTCTATGTAATTACACATTTTTAAACTTGATAAGTAAATTCCCCCCCTTTTCTGTTTAACAGGGTCCAAAGGAAGCAAGCTCTGTGTCAAGTTGGATGTGAGTGGACACCCAGTAGGATCTGCTGTACACTGTTGTAATGGACATGTGATATTTTAACATTGCCTTGTATATTTTGTTGTAAATAACATAAAATTTAAGTTCAAAAAATAACTTTATGCAATAAAGATATTAAAATTTAATACCAATTGCAAGTAAATAAAAATATTTGTACTTTTAATTTAAAATTTATTTTAGCTATTACCAGTAAAAGTTTAATTTCACCAAAATCTCTCAGTGAATGAAATTACAGGATGACATCAAAAAAGACAGCTGGGCAATCAGCCAACTTATGCTTTGCTAAAAGAGCAATTACTGGATGTCTTCCTGAAAGTATATGTAAAAAATTGTTTGGAAGAAGTTGTAGAATGCTCCCATTAAGTTATTTTAAAGTGTCTTAACAAATTTTTTTTTTTCCAAACAAAGGCATATGATTGAATTTATTGGATATAAATAGTTAATCTCAGAACTGTCTTTAGCCTTCATCTTTCTGTGAGCATGGAAAAATCACATTTGTAATTCAGTCTTTTTAACACCTGACCTGCAACTCTAAAGCCCTCTTAAAATAATAATAACGGATGTGAAAAGAAATTTTTCTGCAGTTTCTTATCTGGCTTTGTGGTTTTTTTTCTGACATCCTCTTTGCAGGCTTAGAAAAGAGGATGTGAGTCTGTTCACAGCATTTTATAAAAATTCATTCATATAAAAATGTGTGGAAGATTTTTCTCTGTAAGTCTTAATTTGTTGGCCTGGCCTTTATAAAAGACATTTTGAAAAGACTTTTATGTGTGGGTTTATAGCAAGTTTTACTCGCAGAACAATACAGAGATGCTTTAATAGGCATTCCTTAATTTTTCTTTTCAAACATCCATTTTCTACAAACACACCAATCTAATGCAGCATTGGTGTTCTTTGTCAATATAATTCATCTGTATTACTGTTGCAAACCTTTCCCTTCTGTTTGCCAAAGGAAGGTAGAAGTGGTGTTTCTCTCCTTTCTGGCTCTGCCAAAGGAGTTGTTGCAACTCCCAAAATCTGTGTGCAGGCACAGCTCTGTCCATCAGTGCCCTCTCTGTTACTGGTTTGATGTTGATGAGGGAAGACTGTTCTGTAAATTAACAACTTGGGGGGTAGAAGTGACAAATCACCAATGCCAGGGCGTAACTCCCAGTGTGACAAGGTCAGTTGCTGTTTGTCTCCCTGTTCTACACCCCTTACCTAATACAGCTGTGTATTCCAGAGCCTTTCAGGCACAGCCCTTGAATGGATGTGGAAGGGAATGGGGTCTTTAAATTTCAGCATCCTGAATGTTTATTTTAAAGCACCTTCTCTTTGAAATCTACAGGTGCAATGAATGGAAGAGGCAAGTAGCTTCAGTGTTGAAAAAGAGTGAGCTTCCCAGGAAAACATAGCAGGTTTATTCAAAACAATCAGTTTAAAACAGCATTAAACAACTGAACCACGTTGATGTCAAAATTCCCAGTAGCCTTAGAAAAATAATGATATTTTCACCCTTGTTTATAAGCAATCATTTCTTGATAAAGCATCAGCAATGTACATTTAGCATTTAATCCGTTTCATACTTATTATCCTGTTTCTTACAACTATTTTTTTAAACACAGCCTTCCCATAGAAGAGGTATAATCACAGTTATCATAAAGCCAGGTTATGCTGTAAAAAGCCCCATTACCTGACTATTTCCAAAGGATGCCAGAAGTGTTGCAGGGGTCAGTGCCTGTATCTGACATTTTCGTGGAATGTTGCGAATACAGAGTAACAGGCAGCAGTCCTGTGCTTTGTTCTTGGGAAGAGGTTTAAGAGTGAGCATATTTATATGAAATACAGTCACAGATTGTGTTCTCATTCTAGGTACAGTGCCCAAACTGGTCATATTTAAGAGTGAAAAAAAAATACTCAAAATGTTAAAATTGGTCAAAATCAAGTCAAGCTTTCATCCTTTATTAATGGAAAATAAAAGTGGGATATTTCTTTCTCAGTAGTAAAAGAAAAACTTTTAAAAATTGCATATTAAGTAGACCTCCTGATTTTAATGGCACAGAGTTTAATCCAGCTCTTTCAGGCATTCATGTAGGTATGATAAATATGACTGGAAGCAAAGTAGATACTAGATTGAATACCTTGACCCTGAGTGGAGATCAAAGAAAGGAATATACAGCTATAATAAATCCATTTCTAGAAGCTTGTTTATGCCTGGAATCGGGTTCTTAACTCACTGTCTAAAGCAGCTAAAAGAATTTGACAATTTATAATACCCCATTTCAGTCTCTCTGTTTTATGATTGAGCAGTAAGTAAGTATTCACTGGAACTTTGCTTTTGAGACCTCAGTTTCAGGTACCTGCTGATTCTGACCAAGAAAAGGTGTGGATTGTGCCCCCTTGCTCTGCACACAGTGCTCCAGTGGCACCACCAGGTTAAAGGCAAGGCAGGGGGCTGCTCACTGCTGACATGCAGCAACCTCACTGCTCATTCATTTAAGGTGCAACAGAAGGGAACAGGTCTGTTACAGCTTCCTTGGTATCATCTCTTCTCCTGTATTGCTCCAAACAAAAAATCAAGTGTGCAAGAATGTTACAGTGAACAGCATGGAGATCAGGGTGAGACTTGCTTCAATAAGACTTCCAGAAGAAAATTTTATTCGACCTTCAACTGCTGGGTAAACTCTCTTCATTCTCTGGAGGTAGCGGGAAACAACCTCAATGTCAGGTTCACCTAAAGAAACAAACAGAAAAGTGTTCTTTGCATCTGCCAAGCTCTTAACCAAAATGTAAGAGCTTGCCTACATTTCAGTTTTAGCTTAAGAATTAAATTGTTTTCTGTGGTTTGCCATTCTGAATCAGCACCCGTCATCTGTGGTGGTTTGTAGCCAGAATTTTTGGTAGCAACTTTTACAAACACTTTACATGTATTTTACAAACAAACAAACACAAATTATTTTTATTTTGTCTGGCTTGTTTTGAATTTATAACAATGGTATTTTCCTATTCAGATACATTGAGATAGTCTCTCACCTGTTTGGGGTATAGGGCTGTAGACCTGGCAAAGGTATTGCTTATACTTTTTCAAATTCACTTTTTTTAGAAGATTGTAGTCTTGGCACTGCTTGTGTGCACACAAGGTATTACATTGGTTTTCTACAGTGGGAGACCCTTTTCAGTCACTGCTGCCAACCATGCAATGAGCCCCTTCTGATCCAAGCTCTTAAAATACTAAAGGGGAACCCTCCATCCTAAGAATAATTACAGTTTTACTCTTCTGTTGTACTGAAAGTCTTTACCAGAACCTTACAGGTTGTTCCCTTTCACTGTTCCTAATGATCTTTCTGAGTCTCATTAGTAGGGCTGATTTTTTAAATCAAGTTTTGCTGATCTTGATTTAAAACATCAGTTGTATCTGTGAGAATCAACTTAAAATTTAAACACCTCTAGAAGCAAAAAATTAGCCTGTAGCAGAGGTCCAAAAAGAAAATTTTTGAGGTAAAAGCATGCTTTCACCATGCACAAGCAGAACATAAAAAAATTAAAGTTCTGCATCAATGTAGATTGGCTCCTACAAGACTTTTTTTTTAAATACAGCACTACACCCCTTTTGTGTTTTCTGAAATAATGGATTTCAATTTCAAATTTTTTTTCTCTTCATCCTAAAGGATGGACAATGCCAATTGTACAAACACAGACTTTCCAACACTTTGCATGCAGCTTTAGAGGACATCAAGCCAGCATTATAAAACAGCTCCTGCGGTGTGGTGTCTGCAGCACCCTGCCTTCTCCTGCCTGCAGAGCTCCCGGGGTCCCTGGTTTTGGCTGGCCAGGCTAATTCCCTTCAAGCAGGTTGGCATCTTTCCCCTCACCCTATGTTCACCTGAGCTCCATGTTGTTTAACAGTGGAGGTGATGATTCTGTCTTTCCAAATACTTCTATACAGTGGAAATTTAAGTTCTCTAGAAAATAATCGCCTTTCTTTTTGATGCATTGTTCAGTAATGAGTACAAGTGCAAGGCAGTGTGAGATGTACTCTCTGTGTTCTTTGCTGCTTTTCTGGTTTACCACAACCTCAGGACTGCTCTCTGAGCACTGCTGAATTGATAATGTTTGATAATGAAACTTTTGTGGTTTTAACTGAAAAAGAATGGAGTTGCTGCCTACAACCAAATCTTGCAAGCCAGAGCTGTCAGGGTAGAAGCAAATTTAATCATTGAGTAAGGGCAAAAAGTCTGAGGTTTATATTGTAGAAAGGTCTTTTAATTGTTAGGAGTTGTTTGTCTGCTATCCTGTTAGTGCCCGTACTTAACTGGACTGTATCCCTCTTACCTTTACTGTATCCCAGATTTTTGTCTTTCAGCATACTGTAGTCATCTCCTCCAAATAACAGGTAGGAGGGCAGAGTCACATTGTATATTTCATCCATCTGGAGTGGGACATAGGCTGGGACTCGGCACGCTGTGCAAAGCACTTCTAAGCTCACAACTCTGCTTCCTGGGGCTCTGGAGAGATCATAGACCACGTGGATGCCTACAAAAATACACATTGGAATGCCACTTAGTGCAGGGCATGTTGAACACTCAGGGCCAGAAGCAGCATTCTCCCTCATCCTCAGCTGGTTCTTTACATGACTTTCTGTGACTGAGAGTTGTATTGTTCTGAATTACACCACTTAAATCCCTGAGTTCTTTGCACACTTACTCAACTTCTCTGTGAGAACATTCAAGAAAAATAAGAATTGCTGAAGCACTGTCCCACCTCATTTACTTATCTGATGTCTGTTCTCATCACTACTCCACAAAAGGAAATTACTGGTCATGGGATTGGAATACTACAAGATAAAAATACCTTTCCTTATTTCTGTAGTCACATGCTTTCTCATTTCCCTGGCCTGTTGGCTGAAATTACTTTTTTTAAGGCCAGCCAGCCTAACTTGGTATCTATTCTGGATAATAGGCAGTGTCCTGAAAAAGGAAAGCCAGACCAGGGCTGTACACTGCAGTGTCTCCTCACTGTAGGAGAAGCAACATTTCCCATTGTGAGCCTTCCTTGACCAAGGCCAGAGGAGAGCCAGGCCCCCAGAGCAGCCCTGCCAAGAATCTGCAGATGAGGAAGCCACAAAAGGTCGTTCAAAACACTGAGGCTCTTCCAACCCTGGCGCTTTTCCTGCTCTGCATCTTCCATCCCGAGCCCTTTCCAGAGCTACTTGTTTTCTTTTCTGTGAAGAGGCAGCAAACAGAGCTTGTTCCTGTTTTACCCTAGAGGTACCTAAGAACATGGGAACTTACTGGTGAAAGTGTGAGACATGGGTTGTGGCTGTGGCATGTGAGAGATCACATTGTCAGGGTAAATGGGATGAGAGGCTTGGAGGGAGGGAATGCATCAGCCCCTGCCCTTGAAGTTTAGCTCTTCTGCTAACTAAACAATAAAATCTGCACTAAATCACAGAGAGACCAGGAATAAACATGACTGTAGCCTAATACACATCTGGATAAACATATAGGCAGCTGCAATTAAAGATATGAATAGATTTTTTTATATTAACTGTTCACCCATAAAATATTTAGAAATTCACTGGAGCAATTCCATAGCCCAGTTGGACAAACTCTAAAACTGTCATCAATCATTGGAGAATTGCACAAAATTATTTTGATAAACTGAAATTCAGCAGAGCTATCCAGTTTGGCTTTTCAGGTAGGCTGCCAGTTAGGAACTAAAAACTGGAGTTTGTTGTAGCTATTTCTGTGTTACAGCTATACTAAATTCTATTTTCCCCTAGTTAATTGCAGTGTTAAACTGATGCCATTGTGGTTTGGGAAGCTTGGGAGCACTGTCTCTGCTGAAGGGACAGCAATGGGCAGTGGCTCCATTAAACACACACAGGATAAACAGAGGCTGCTGGCTGGCATGTGAGAGGCACAGGGCGAGGATATGTGGCCAGCTTGACATTCCATTCTTAAAAAAAGGCTTCCAGATGTAAAAAGGCCAACAGGAGGGATAGCTGTTTTGGAAAACTGAGAAGAAGAAAGAAGAAAATATACCTCCAACCTGCAGCAGCTCTCCACTTCCTACTCCATATCTCCTCACGCTGTGCTCAAAAGCTTCTTTCAGTGTGGAGCCTTTTAATGTCACCATATCAAAGCGACCTCCAAATGGCAGAACAGACAGCAAATCTTCCATGGTAATGCTACCTGGGGGAAAGAGACTTTGTTCACTTCTTTGTTATTGTTGGGGGGGAGGGGTGTTGTTTCTTTTTCCTGTTGTTTACAGAATTATTTTAGGATTATTTAACATCAAGTTTTTGACAAGGAACATGGCAAATACAGTTTAAGAAAATGGCGACTTGTAGGGGTAAGAGTCACATATTTTTTGCACGTTCCAAAAGAACCTGCATCTTTTATTATCCAGCAAGTGTCAAGACCAATAAATCAGAGTTTGTTGTAACTGTATGTATTGCTATTAGAACAGAGCTACTAAAATACGTGACAAAGCACCAATGTAAGATGAAACACAGCTATTCATACTACGTCAGGCACTTTTTCCAGTTGATTCAGATTTACTCACATAGTCCTACAAAAAGACTTAGCTAAACTGAGAAAACTGTTTGTTTTCAGGTTGCATTTATGTGGTATTAGGAAAATAAACACTAAAATCTTTGCATTCAGAAACCCCAGAATTTACTTACTCTACAGCAGACTACAGAAGGCTCACAGCGACCATACCAGATGACCTTGTACAGCAGGAGACCTTCCTTTGTTCCAAGGCAGCAAGGAGAGAGGGAAATTGTAAAAAGCATTGTGTACAAACAATGCTAGAGACAGTCAGTGTCAGCCTGAGTGCAGTTGTGCTCAGATGATGGACAACCAGAAAGTTTGAAATCACATCTAAACACTGTGCAAACCCCATCAGAACAAGCCCATAATTATCACTGTGTTCAGGCTGACATAGCTTGATTTCTTCTATCTGATGAAGTTGCCATTCAGCTGGTAATTTGACCTACCATTAGTGCTCTGCTCATCAATGGGTGACCGTATCCCACCTCCGTTCAGGATGCACATTGAAACGTGGTTCCATGTCTTCTTACCCGGACGCCTGACATTCTCATAAAGCTACCAAAGGAAAAGGTTTAAACAGATTTTATCTTCACTTACTATAGGCTCTGAAAATTCACACCAAATACAATCTGAGATTGAAAAAAGACAGAAAGGTTTTGGGGTTTTTTTGACATTATCTTCAGCCCTGTTGTAAAATACTTAGTTACTTAAAGTATTTTGCTTTTTAAAATTCTTAACATGAAAAATATTTGCCCTTTAGTCTTGGAGTCTGCCCTAGTCTGTGTGTCTATGGCATGGCCAAGGCAGACCAGCTGAACAAAAGAAAAGTGATTTTTTCATTTCAATGACTGTGATGAAGACAAATGATTCAATCATATTTAGGAAACTGAGAATTGAAGAAGACCTTCAATACTGTTGTTCATTAAAATCTCTTAGAGAAAGCATAAATTTATAATTTTGCAGGGAATTAAGTTTTTTCAGCTTCTCTGTGGTTGGTTTTTAATATTTGGAATGGTCTTGGGTAACTAGAAAGGTGTAGAACCTTCTAGTGGAAGAACAGGAAACAGGCATACTAAATCAGAAAGCCTACTCTGCACAGCAATGAGTACTCAGCAGTTCAGTGGTGAGGCTCTGACAAAATGCAAGGATAGGATAATATTTGCTTGTGACATCTGTAATAGTAAAGAAAATGGAGACCAGATATTTGCTCAGTTGCATCAGGATAAACTTCCAGTATTAATCCTCAGAAACAACTGAGTAGAATGGGGAAAGGCTGAAATTTTGTAGGACAATAGAAAGGATGGACTGGTTTTTCAGTTGCATCAGGATGATAAGCTTCCAGTATTAATCCTCAAAAACAACTGAGTAGAATGGGGAAAGGCTGAAATTTTGTAGGACAATAGAAAGGATGGACTGGTTTCCATACAGGAATGACTATGGTCATCACTCTTCAGTCTTACAGAGAGAAGTACAGGAAGCACATGACAGAAACCTATGCAGTGAAGAAGGGCATGTGGAGGCTGGGTAGAAATTTGTGTCTTTTCTCATTTCAAGAATGATAAAAAACCTAAAAGATTCAGAGAGGGGTGACGAGGATGGCCAAAAACACAGAAAACTTCTGAATGTAGAATGATGATGTAGACTTGGAATGTCTGACCTGGTAAAGAGATTATGGAAGGAAATATTCAAGAAGACTATAAAATCATGAGTGGTGTGATGGTGGATGGGAAGCAAGTGCTCCAGAGCAAGGACCACTTGACCCCCAGCAGTTATGCAGGAGTGGGCAGCAGCAGACTACACACTGACAAGAGCAAGGTCTCTGCAGGATGTGCAGGTCCCTGTGGAATGCCCAGCCACCAGCTGCTGGGAAGGCTGGAAGCAGGCAAAGGGAGGTGGAGCCACTCTGCAGGGGCTAATCCCCACTGTCTCCCTCCCCTTCTCCCTCTCTCTCTCCCTTTTGTTGTTTCTTGCTCTCCTCACGTGTTCCAGTTGAGCCAGTAAATGTCAAGAGACCACTTCTGCCTTGGGAATGCCTGAGCTGCAAGCTGGTGGGGGACATGGGCAGATCTGAGCACAGCAGCTCCACAGGCTTGTCCAGGAGCATGCTCGTCCCCTACCATCCCCATTCCATCATTCTTGGAGACAAAACTTTGGGATGAATGATCCTGTCATGTGTTCCAGGTGGGTCACTTCTCTGCTGCACCCCTGTGTGAAGCGTTTGTGACCCCTGACTTGCAGCTGTGTAAATGCTTTCTGCCTCCAGTTTAGTCATTAAAGTTATGCCCTGAGGCCAGATCCCTGCTCAGGTTTGTAACTCATAATCAAAGGATTGCAACTTCCCAGCCCTGAGCTGAGGCAGCTTAAAAGAGGAGCTCACACGGTGCTGTTGCCAATTTCACAATCTTTTCACCTCCGAGTCCCTTTAAAGTCCTTTGTAAAATGCCATCTAGGCCTGTCAGTCTTTTGATTCTGAGATTTTGGGGTACTGGTTGAGATTCATCACTGAACTACATGGACCTCTGTTTTGACCCAGCACAAGCATTCCATCAGTCTTTGCAATTCTCAGTCTCTCCATTTCTCAGGACAACTCTAAATATTAAAGTTTGTGGAACAGGCAGGTCTATTTTTCCCTTTATCCCCCTGACCACATGTCAGCAGACAGGAAAGCAAGTACAGAAGTGGTAAGGCAAGGTGAAGAGAAATCTATGTTTCTGCTGATGACTGCAGGTGATTGTCTAGAGACACTGATTGAACTAAAATAGAACTTGACCCCCCTAAGAAAAAATGTATTGCAAGAAAATCTACAGACTGCTGAAAATTTACAGGGTTACTTTCTTTAGGCTTGAAAAGTGCCAAAGCATTTGTTCACATTTTTGCAAATAAAGATATTAAAAAGTGTAGTGGAAGAAAAAAAGCAAGATGCTCCAATTCTAGGAGAACTGTATGCAGAATTCCCAAGCATTAGTCTGATTTGAAAATCAGCTCATGAACTAGAGGGATTATTTTGAGGACTACAATAAGAGCATGGACTAGACAAATAGCTTTGGGGACATATCTAAGTCAAAAGTCATGATTATTAATTGTCCCTTAACTTTCCTTTTATGGGAAAGTTAATTTTCTGGAAACAGTTACATTAGTGAATGTTTTTTCCCTGAAACACTTAAATGAAATGGTGTTGCTGAAGGGCAGTAAAACAGTCAAACTCAGAAAGTTTAAAAACTGGAAGTGACCTCTTGTAGAAAGACTTTTCTGGAGTTATGTGGCTGTTAAAGCCCAGTAGTGCCTGTCAGAACACAGCAGGGCTGGCGGCTCCTTCTGAGCTGGGGCATTTTGTGCCTTTCTGGCTTTTCCCACCCCCTCCTTGCTTCAGCTGGAGCCTTTTGGGCTCTTCAGGGGGACAATTCTTGTCAGTAGCTTGACAGAAAATTACCCAGATTTGTTTTCTGTGCCAGTGCACTGAAGTGACAGCAAAGCCCAGTGAGTAACGAGAGGACAGAGGGTGAGTGCTGTGAGCAGGGGCCAGTAGCAGGAGAGGGGCAGGGGAGCTGAGCTCTCCTCCTTGCTGGGCTCTAAGATCAGGCTGCCACGTCCCTTGAAAGTGCAGCCTCAAAGCCATCTGTGCAAAAGCTGTTCTCTCTGTGAGGTTATGCACAAAGAATAAACTGCTGCTTACTCTCTACAGCAGCATTCTTTATAGCCTGGCTTCTGCCAGGTCTTTCTAGGACACACTGGATATTGCACTGTTGAAAAGCAGGCACAGAGCCCATGTGCTGATAGTTTGGATCTGGATAGCTCTGGAGTAACCCTTAGATGTAATTACCACCTGTAGTGGTGAAAACATCTTACCATAGCATCACAAAGCAAATTTCCCATGTTACATTCGTGGAAACGGCATGCTTGGCTTGTACCATTCAGGTAAACACTAGTTTTTCCAATCTCTTCAGAATAATTCCCCAGGTTTTCTCTCCATTTTTCCACTTCTTCCTTAATGCGCTCATCTGTAAAGTAATATAAAAGTGTAAAATAAGCATCATACATATATTAATGACACTTCAGTGAATACAAACCTTAGGAAAAGAAAAAGGTGTTCAAGATTCTAAAAGGTTACACTTTCCCTAAAAGCTTCTTAAGCAACATGGCAACTACATTCAGTTCAAACAAAGCCTGTAAGGGGAGAAGGCAGGACAGGACAATCAAGGGAATAAGCCAGTCCTGTGCCACAGCAAGGTTACCTCTGTACTTTTGTCCTGTTCTAACCTCTGACTGATGGGATTGCTAGTACCTACCTTGACAGGTGAGAGAATTTTAAAAATACAAGTGAGATTGGTCTTTGATGCATTTTTTTTTTCTGTTTGCAATTTCTTCCCTTTAATGTTGTGCTAAAAGGAAAAATAGCTCAAATATCAATGTCAAGGAATAAATGCTTTATAGAAATTAATTCTCCATGTACATCTGTCTTGTGGGTGAAAATTTAATTATTTCAGAGAAAAACCCAAAGATACTTGTATATGCAAACATATGTTACAACTATTTTATATCAGCTACAGTTTTAATAATTTTGCTCACACCTGTCAGCAAGAACATTTATAAAATTATACCACCAGTGTATCTGAATTTTAAGTTTTACTGACTTCAGAGGAAGAATATAAAGTTTCATTACATCATCTCACTACATTAATAGGTCACTGAGAATAACACAGTCAATATCTATGAACAAATAATTTTAAAGGATTTGTTTTACAAATACTCAGGTAGAACCTAGAAAATCTAATAAAAGCTCAGAACTTCATACAGAAGAAGAAACAGATTAGAAAACCAGCCCTGGGTAATTGCAGAGCTGACAAAGAAAACAGTTAACAGAGCTCAGACTGAGTTACAAACAAAAAGTGACAGAGAGATTCTCCTCCTCCCACTTCTTTAAATGTTTCAGAGTTAAAACGTTGAACACAATTAGCACTGCATGCAAGAACTCAAGGGTTTGTATATCGTATTTGCACTGCTGGCAGAGCAGTTGGCAGAGCACTTCAAGTTTTTCCTGGAACATTTCCACTTTCCTATATTGCTCCAAACTCTGCTCTGAAGAACCCAGCCTCTGGCAAAACTGTAAATTATTCCTCATAATCTTTTAAATCACAATTACAGGACTAGCTAAAACAGGTCCTACAAAGTGGTAAGGTATTGTATCACCTGAACTCTTACAAAAGGACTTTCAGGGATTTTAAATAGATAAAAACACTCTCTGAATGCATGCATATTAAACTGTTACACAAGGTGAACCCTACACAGAAGAGAATAAGCTGAATTCTTATTCAGACATTGTATTTGACATGACAAGACTTGAATTGCAGCAGAGTGCTGCTGGCAAACTCAAATGCCTAGTCCACATACCTTCAGGAAAGCTGCTGTCCAGCAGAATGGGGTTTCCAACTGCTTCAACTACATTTCCTTTCTTGTCAAATGTAACATTTAAGTAACCAAGATATTTTCCATAAGCATAAGCTTGTACAACTGGCACCTTCCTCCCATCATCTGAGTCAACCATGAATGGATATGGGCCCTCTGGCTGTTCAGTGGAGGGTGGGGTGCCTGCACAGAACAAGCATGAAAAGTGGGTCTTCAGCTCATGAGACCTTCAAGGAGTTACTACAGTGACATTTCAAATGCTTCTCAGCCTTAAAAAACCCAGCTAGGATAGAAACAGCCATGGCTGTATTGGACAACAAGCAGACATTTGATGGTTCAGTTATCTCATAAGAGACAATGTTGTTTTCAGGACACGAACGCAAATAACTACCACAGTGTTTTTTGAAGATATGACAGCACTCTGCTGTGACATCACATCACAACAGCAACAAAGCAACTTTTCATTCCAACTATTACAATCTAAACCCCTCAGTAATGCAAACATACCAGCCACTGGATGAAAAGTTTACTGTTGAGCCTTCATACTACATTATTCTGCATCAGACAGAAAGCAAGAATCATAGTAAAACATACATCAGACTTCTTGGTCAGAAAAAGTGTAATGCATCTTACTGTTAATAAGCAGATAGAATATCTACAAACAGTTCTGTGAATTGTACATAGAGTCAGCTGATTTTTTTTTCACTATACCAAACAGCCTCCAAAATTTCAGACAGTCTGTAAACCCTCTGCAGAAACAACCTTCATTAGCCTTAAAGTTGTGTGGTCATGGATTTAAAACTATCAACCTGCAAAGTCTGAAAAATGACTCGAGGTAGAACTTGGAAACAGATTAAGGCAAGGCACTGGCAGAAAAAAAGAGGCAGCTCAATTGGCAGAGGTTATCACAGGGTTTAGAAACCACAGGGCGGAAAGTGGCAAAGAAAACTGGAAGTGCACAGCACAGCTCCTGCCTCAAGGGTACCAGGCTTCTCAGTGTCTCCTTGACATTATCTGAGCATTGACAACATTATCTGAGAAGTATCTCTCTCCCTGCTGTTATTCCTGCCATTATTTCTGCCCCACTATCAGACCAAGGCTGGGTAGCTCCAAGAGCCATCACGTGCTGTGTGACAGAGCTCCCTCAGAGCCTGCTCCTTACCCCTGTCCCAAAGGTGGTGGCATTCCCCATCCATGTGTCTGTGAACACTGGGCTGCTGGTAAGGCAGGGGCACAGGGGAGCAGGTTCAGAGGACGTGGATCCAGAGGAAAGCAGCCTCTTCACTTGCACTGCTCACAGAACAACTTGTTTCCCTTCCATTTACAGTTGTTTACATAATATTAAATCCTAGGATAAGCAGCATGATAAATATTCCTTCTAGAACTCCCATACAATTCATATTCCTCTCTAATCCCTCCTTTCTCCAGGGAGAAGAGCTGCAACAAACTGCAAACTGAACAAAACTTACCACAGAACTAGATTTTCTAGTTTCAGCCAGGCCAACAGAGTTGGTTCCTTGGAGTGCCACTTAACTATTTGTTTATTTGGGGAAGAATTTAAGAAATCCTGTAGCTAATGAGGACTCTACAGGATTTATGCACACAAAAGTGGCTTTGGGGTTTTCTGAACTGAAAAAGGAATAAGTTTTGATTTCTTGTCCTTCTTTAGTCCTCAAATGAAAAGAGAATTAGAAAGATAAAGTTATTCTTTCTAGGCATTATTATAGTTTACATCAGCTGTGTGTATTTAAGTGCTTGTCCAGAGTCTTACTCATTTCTTGTTTTCTAACAAAATACTTTCTGATTCTGATGCTTCCTTGCAAGATTAATTAGCACTATGACATCTCTCTCTTGTAAGAGAGATGTGTTCCTCCTGAAATGCACAGACCATTCAGTGCATCTTATCCCATTGAACACTAGAATTCATGCTCACTCAAGGCATGAGATGCTGCTTCATTACAAACGCACAAACTCATACTGGGTGACTGAAGAACATGTAACACTTTCCTATTTCTTACCCTGTTTTAGCCAACACATCACATTTTCAGAACATCAGTTCTGATGAAAACCAGGAATTAAACTGCTCTAACCCAAAACTACCACTGCTGGTTGAATCAGTTCTACAAACCAAATGCACACCTGAACAAGTCAGGACATTTTTGCTTTATAACCTGTGGATAAACTGGAGATTGGCAAATATCTTAGAGACAGGTTGGACTAGTCCAAGAAGAAACCCTTACATTAAGATTTCTCTGTGGAGATGTCTCCATGGGCAGTATGTCTCTAAACCTCCATGATAGAACAGGCTGAACAGCTCATACATCTCCACTTAGACTGAGCTGGAACATTCCCCCAGATTCTGCTGACAGTTATTGATTACACCTCTTGATTTAAATGAGAGCTTATAAGCTTAATATATGCACTGAGACATGCAGAAAGATGTTTCAAATCAGATGTTTTACTCTGCAGTGAAATCACCTCCACAGATGTGGCTGTTTCTCTGGGAATGTTGACTGGTTGCTTTGACTCAGCAGGACATGGCTCACAAATGCACTCATGATGCTCCTGAATGGGTGAGCATGTGTCTCACAGCACTTGGGATAAAAATTATATGCTCAGACCACATTCTGTCAAAAATCGTATTCTGACTAGATATTTTTGGTGTATCTCCTCCAGACATTACTTCTTTATTTTTCTCACCTTGCTAGTGTTAATAAAAAAAAGCAAGACAGAATAGTTTTATCAAAACAGTAGAGCCCTTGGAAAAGGGACCAGAAATCTTTCCCAGCTGTGACTTTTAACCTGAAGGCTGCAGTCTCCTGCAGTGTGCTCTTTCTGGCCTTTGAATCTTGGACAGCTTCAAATGGGGAGGGGTGGAACAGCTTGACGTAGTCTAGTCTGACAGCAGGCTACTCTCTGGGATGACTAGAGCTGTGCCTGCAAACTCCTGCAGATCTGGACAGGATATGAGGGCAGATGTCTCAGCTCCTGCAGCACTTCACATCATGGTTCCAAATTGTGACATGTGGCACCTCTTTGGATCACACCCAAGAAGGTATTTTGGCTACTGGGGCTACCACGATGAGTCACAAGTTCTCTACAGGCATTGGCCAACAAGACTGTGCAAGAGAATAGGGATTCCACTGTGGAAATCCACAAGGAATGCACACTTTGGATATGGAATCCATCCTTGTTTTTCCCATCTCAAAAACAATTCAATGAAATTGCAGGCTGCACCCCAAGACAAGACCAAGGTCTCTGTGGCTTGTGCAGGTCAGTGTTGAAGACCCTGCTACAGGCTGCTGTGGAAGTTGAAGGTACCCAAGAGGAGATGGAGCCAGTAAATATCAAGATACCACTTCTGGAGTGGGGAGTCCCTAAACTGCAAGCTGGTGGGAAACATGGGCAGATCTCAGTAAAGCATCTCCACAGGCTCATCCAGTCCCCTCAACCATCCCCCTTGGTTCATTTTTAGACAGATGGTATTGGCATGATCCATCCTGCTTGTTCCAGTTTGGCTACTTCTCTGCTGCACCTCCATGCAAAGAGTTTGTGAGCTCTGACTCGTAGGTAGGTGTGTAAATGCTTTGTGCGTCCAGATTAGTCATCAAAGCTATTCCCTGAGGCCAAATTCAAGAGATGTTCTGATCTGCTCAGTGTGTAACTGTGGCTTGCAATTGTTTCTTTTTAACAAGTGAGATAACAAAAGGTGAGAGCCCAGATAAGACAAAAAAGGCATGAGAAACGGAGAGGAGATGAATAGGGAGAGGAGAGGATGATGGACAGTGCAAACCTTTTAAGTGGTCAAGTTCCTAGGGTAGGGTACATAATGTTATCCCTGTGACTAGGGCACACAGGAAACTTTTCTGAAAATTACAGAAAATTCCCATTATAGTCTCAACCAGTTATTAAAGTTCCTGCTAAATTTAAAGAATTTAAAAAATTCAATCACACAGAACAACAAAACAGCCTCTCTTTGATTTATGTCCTTACACTCTGGGGAAGGTAACAGCATTGGGGAAGCTGCTGATGGCAGGTGTTGCCTAAAGTAGCATTACTGCAGGAGAAAACAGATGAGCAATGTTTATCTCTAGAATGACATCTGCCTCTAGAGAAAAGAATAAAGTGAGAAATTAAAAGAGGTATTGAAAAAAACAGCTGAAACTTGGGGAAAGTATTTTAATGGCAGACTAAATGAAGATCTATGAATATAGAATCAGATTACAGAGAAAATCAATACAAGCAGCAGTTTTGAAGTCTTCTATGACTAATTTTTCTGGTTAAGTCACATGCATGTTTAAAAGTAGCAAACTAATTTACTCTTTTATAGGTAAGAGCTTGAAAGAAGCACAGTATGTTTAGCAATAATTTACAGGTATTACTACCTTTGTTCCTCTTCCCCACTTTGCACAGGTCACCTTGAACATCCACAGCATTATGGAACCTCTCAGTGAGTTGTGGTACTTGGTGTGCACAGGCTGTTTTGAATTGGTTTCTTCCATGGAAGTTATGGACATGTACCAGCTAGGAACCTGGCTGAGTGCAGCCAGCAGTAAACTATATTGGTGAAAGTTCTCCAAGTTTAAAGACAAACAGTTTCAGCTTAGCTTCAGAAGCAACATTTTAGTAAGAAGTAAAATACCTGTATAGAGAAATGTGTTTGTATGTCCTCCAATCACAACATCCACTCCTTTCACTTTTTGAGCAATATTTTTGTCCACTGTAAAACCAGAATGTCCTAGTGCAATTATTTTGTTCACTCCCATAGCAGTAAGTTTATTCACTTGCAGTTGCAATGCTTCAATTTCATCTTCAAAAGTTACATCATCCCCTTAGAAAAGAAAATAAATTAAAATAATTTACTTACAAAGTACCTTAATTGCCAGTTTGAAATAAAGTAGTTGACATCGGATATTAATTTGTATAATTAAAAGGATTTTGAATGGCAGTATCTTTCAAATATCCTTAGCTGATTCAAGCTCTTGATCTGATCCAATGTTTTTCAGCCTCTTAGGAGCACCTGTGTGCTTAGACTAATACAGCATTTCTGCAACAAGCTGTATGTACTTGCCTAGACTAAAAGAAATTATAACTCTGCAAAAAAATTCGGTGGCATCAGTAGTAGGATCAAAAATTGGATGGCTTTTATTATTTAACTAGAGAAAGGAAACTAAATATGTCAATGCTTGCATATAAACAGTTTTATTCTATTACAAAGGTTTTTTTCCTTCCCCAACTGTATTTCTTTGAGATCATCTATCTTCTCCCAAGTTAAATCTCCCTTTTTACTGCACAGTCATCTTGTTCTTTCCTTTATCCCTCCTTCCCAAGGCTTTAAACAGCAGCTTCTTCAAAGTCGTCCATTAAAATCTGAATTGCCTTTTCATACAAATAATCTCACTTAATGTGAACCACTCTGAGTAATGCCAGTACAGCACAGCACACGTGTGAGCTACCATCCTGAAACAACAGCATAAGGAACAGAAAGTCTGGAAAGGAGAAACTTTTCCAAACAAGGATGTTGGGAAACCAAAAGTCTTTCTGCAAGTTTTCTGTGCTTGCTGAAATTATTCATATGTGACAAACAGTTACATGAACACTAGAATAACAGGCGTTTTTGTCCTGGGCACAGTGGTTTGGGTTGCACAAAAGGACTTCCTATGTAAGAGGATAATTTCCCTGACAAAGTTTCAAGAGTAGAGTTTAAGGACAGGTTCAACCAACTGTAAACTTAGACTTTCTGGTGAAGACAACCAAGTGACTTTTCTACCAATTCCTCCTCTACCTAATTCCTCTCCTTCCTGCAGAAATTTTTGATCAAATAATTTTGAAATGTGCCTTTAAAGTAAAAATATTTACATTATTTCATAACAAAGGGAGGAGTGAAACGAATTCACAATCCACTGCAAAATGTTTCAGGAAATGAGGAGGAAGCTGCTACAATGGAAGAGATAAAAGAGGGTTACATAAATTGGTTCAGCACCACACCCATTCAATAGCTCTGTGAGTGCCCGAGGGAATCTTTGTACTGCACATTGCAGAGTGAATTGTGCAGTGCATCCCCACATTTTCTTCCTGTGGACCTCTTCTCAGAATCAAAGAGTCAGAAGTTAATTGAGGTTGGAAGAGACCTCCAGGAGCCATGTAGTCCAAAACCCACTCAAAGCAGGAACTGAAAGCCAAATGAGGATGCTCAGGGTCTAGTCTGAGCTGGCTGAAATTCCAGTCTCTCTAGACAACATGTTTAATGGCTTAACCATGCTTACCATGACAATTTTTTTCCTTAAGTCCCACCATAATTCCCTCTGTTACAGCTTGAGCCCATTGTTTCTTGTCCTTTCTCTTCCCCTCTGGGAAGTGTCTGTCCCTGTCTTCTCTAAAAAATCCCCTTACACAAGTGGAAGACTGTGTCTGGTTTCCTCTTACCCTTCTTCTCCAGGCTGAAGGAAGCCACTGGCTTCAGCCCCTCTTTGCACACCCTTGATTTGACAGCAGCTGGGCCTGGTGCAGAGCTGCTGGCAGAAAGGGAAGTGCAAGGACTGATCCCTGAGCACAGGCTTTTCACGTTCTCCTCCCTGCACCGTGGACCAGCTGCACCCCACTGGTGTGGGGACCAGCTCTGCAAAGAGAGCTCTTGAAACAAAGAGCAGGAACGAGCCACTGACAAGCTGTGCCAGCATGCAGGTGCCTGTGGGCTAACTTCTCCCATGGCCAGTAGCCAGGTGGTCCATGACAAAAAAACTGTCCCCATTGGCACCAGCTCTGTTATCCCTCTACGCCACTGCAGCTTACAAATGCACCTTCTACATTGAAGACATATTATTATTCTTCAACCCACAGAATCATAGAATCCTTTAGGGTGGAAAATGCCTCTAAAGTCATAGAGTCCAACCATTAATCCAGCACTGCCAAGTCCACCACTAAACTGTGTTCCTAAGTGCCACATCTGCACCTCCAGGGATGGTGACTCCAGCACTTCCCTGGGCAGTCTGTTCCAGTGCTTGACAACCCTTTCCAAGAACAATTTTTTCCAAAAATCCAGTGTAAACCTCCCCTGGAAAAATTTTGAAGGCATTTCCTCTTGACCTGTCACTTGTTACTTAGGAGAAGGACACTGTTCCCCATCTTGCTACACCTTTCTTTCAGGCCATTGTAGAGAAAAGGTATCAAAACAGACCAACCCACTCTCATAATGAGGGAAAGAACAAGGCCCATCCCATGCAGGTAAGCCCATCCCTCTCCCAGGACCATCACGTCAGGACAAGCAGACACCAGAGCTCGGATGGTCCCACTGCCAATCCACCCACCCACTGATCTCCTGTTGTCTGCCTTGCCCTCAGAAAGGGGATTCTGCTTGGGGCTGCAGGGGCTTTTGTCACCCCTTCTCCATGGCCTAGCCATGGCATTGCACACAGCTTTGCATCCTAATCATCGGAGTATTTGATGCAGTTGAGATGAAACAGGCCAACAGGTTTGAAAGTTATACAGTGGGGGACTGTAAGAGCAATTACACAATGTTCAATTCTCTAAGAAACCAGGCAAAAAGCAGTATACTGCTTAGCACTCATCTGGGCATTTTTCAAAACAGTCTGAATCAAAATTACTAACTTATTGCTCATGCCAATATTCCACTTCTCTTTCAAGGTTTTAAGCTGATTTGGCATCCTCTTCTCTTTTTAGGTGAGGTAGAGTTTCAGAAAAGACAGCCAAGCTGTTACAACTGAACAAGGGAGAAGAACCGTCTGCCTGTTAAAAATATTATGCAAGATAGCCAGAATAAACTGGAATAAATGCAATTTAAAATTCAATTTTTTAAAACTACCAAGTTGATAGTTTAAGTAAATATTTTTCTGCCTGTAACGTTACGGAGTAAGTAGATTTGCATTTACACTTTATACAAAAATACAGTGGACCAAACAACATTACAGAACTAAAGCAAGTGGGCTGGAGCCATCAAGTACTAGAAAGTAAATACACAGGTAACTGTGTCTGTGTGCCAGGTTATGAGCTACTCTGTCAGGAAATGGAAAAGCCTGCTGGGCACTCAGCTGAGATAGCTGTACATAGCAAAACAGAGGACTTCAGGAAAAAAAATGCCAATTGGCTGTAATCTATAAATGTGTTTCCCATCCCTATGGTTTCCAAACAGAGGTGTTAACAGTACCTTCAGCAGAGGTTAGTTGGTCCCTCCCAATGCAAACACTGAGATTTAAGGACTTTATACTCCATTCCAGTCTTTTGATAAGCTTTTTTTAAGCAGACTATGGAAAGTACAAGGTGTAATTTCATAGTTGTGATTTCATAGCTGGGTGGAAGTTATGGAAATTTAACAGAAGAAATCACATTCACAAAATACTTCCATAGAAGGCAGTAATGTAGGAATTAATGTTTCAGCATTCTCAAGTTTCCTGTTTGTCTTGAGAATGCCCTAAGAGTGTAGAGCATGCCAAAGCACACAGAGGCAGAGAAAACAGAATCATCTGGAAGAAATGCGTAGAGATAAGCAAGGTGCTGAATTTAAAATTAGCAAGGTCCCTTATTAATGGAATATAAGGAACTAGATTGATAATTATTTGGCCACTGACCCATGTCTGCCATGATTTTACCAGTCTGAAGGATTGCTAGGTCATGGGCAAGATATAGTCACTGAGTTATATTAACGTGTCCCGAGTTCACATTTTCAAATCTTCCTCCACACATCAAAAAGGCAAAGCAGAAAACTAGAAAAACTCTGATTGCTATAAAGGTTGCTGTTAGAATTTCCCCTGCTTTTTGCTAAGTTACGCTGTGGGATACACACACATTTTTACTTCCTTAAAAATGCTTCAGCTCCATCTTTGGAGCTAACAAGACTTCCCTTTTGACACTGCTTTTTTATCTAGCCATAGTCTCTTACAATATCTCAGCATATTGAGGCATTGGTAATGATGTCTGAATGTTATTGGAAATGTATCCAAATGCTTCATAGATTCATTCCAGCACTATCTGGATTTTCACATACTGTATTTATTTGCAAGAGTGTTACTTTGATGATTTGGAAGAAAAGCAGCAGCAGATTTTATTAATCCCTAATGAAGGACAATATTGACTGTCATTATTCAAACCTAGCATGACATCTGATGATATCTACCCTCATGCCCTCAGGCACAGGTAAAATTCTATTGCCTACACAAAAAACAAAATAATTTTCTTTTTTGTTGGGGGACAAAAAGACAGGAACCCAAAACCACATCACTAAAAAATAGAACTGAGATCAATAAGCCTATTCAGAACTCAAATGTCCATTTCTTGACAGGTTAATCATTCAGCATTGGAATTAAAAATCACAGAAGGAATAGTTTTATATTTTAATACTCCCTCAAAGTATTGAATATTCATTTTTTTGTTTTTCAGGAAAGCAATGCACTATTTCTGTATTATTAAGCAATAGAAAGAAAAATAATAATAATAGAAAGAAAAATAATAAGAAGAAATAAGTCCCCTTTTCAACATTAAAGTGTTTCAAAGCAGTGCTTAGAGTATCCCTAACTGCAAGACCCAGGGAAGAAAGTCTGTTTTTGTTACACATAGGCTGAACTCTGAGCGGGCAGTGACTCATATCTCCTACAGCTGATTCAAATGTGTTTCTCATTCCAGTAGACCATTTTATTTTACTAAAAAAACCAAACCCAAACAAAACCCTCATCAAACCGAACCCCCTGAAACGCTGGAAAAAATAGTCAGAAATTGAAAAGTCTTCTTCCTCATCAATTCTAATTTTACTCATGAATGAAGCAATTGTGGTAAAAACTGAATGGGTGTTCCTTCTGTAGTTTAATTTCTGCAAATATTTTGAGAGGCTAAAAACATCTTGGGCAACTTTTGCTTCAAAAACAAGTATGAACCTCTTCTTGTTTTTGTGCATGGAGGCATCAAAGAACAAAATTTCAACACATAGAGAAATGGCACACTTCATGCTGGAGAGAAATTGTATTCATGTTTTAACTTTCATTTAAATGGATAAATAACTGTAAAATATCATGGAATATAACTTTAAAAACCCAAGCAAGAATAAAAATCCCAACAACTCCTGAGCTCTCCTGCAATCTCAGTGACTTTCTGATATTCATAGATATGGTCCACGTCTGTATAAAAGAGGGTTTTAATGTTAGCAAGCCTTTTAACATTTAAGGTTAAAATCAGGCAAAGTTGAGTAATACAAGTAAATACTGATAAAACAACAGACTTCCTACTTTTATGCTGCAAACATTCGTCTTTGGATTTAAAAAAGCGGGCAAATAGCAAAATAGTAACAATGGACATAAACTTACATACTAAAGAAAACATACCTGGCTGTGAAAGAAAAGAAGTTTCCTTTGTAGTGTAGCCAACAATTCCAACTGATTCTGAGTCAAAATGAACTATTTTAAAAGGATGAACATATTTCATCATTTCATTTCCTAATGGAGTTTTCCCTTTAATATTTGCACTCAGGACTGTAAAATTTGCATTTTTAAGAAGAGGATCCAATAATCCACTCACACCTTCATCAAACTCATGGTTACCCAAAGCCTGTGAAAAACAAGAAGAAAATATGAGACCCTACCTCAAATATGTGGTGTAAATCATCTCATAAGTTATATACATGGTATATTTGAGAAAACAAAGTCTACTTCTATGAAAGAAAACCCTAACTTGTCTAAACCAACACATTCCTGTTTCTCATGAACACAGAAGTGGTTGGGTTATTTTTCTTTTTAGATGTAGGTTTTTGTTTTTCAGACTGTCTTACATGGATACAGATGTGAAATACAGATGATGTGATACATGATACAAATTTCAAGATCCAAAACCTATCTGTTTGTTACAGTGTACCTGATTAAAAAGCATTCATTTCACATCCTCTAGCTCTATAAAAGAGGATTAACAATAACCACAAAGGAAAACATATATTTTGTGTATGGAATATATGTTGTTTAAATACTGAAGAAACTAAATATTGTCATTGATATTTAGCATTTTCTTTAAATAAAAAGTTCATTTTAAGAGCTTTGTGCTTGGACTACAGTTTTTAAAACATACTTACGTTGCACTTACTAAAGGTTCTTCTGTGCTTTACCATGCAACAAGAAAATATCATTTCCTATCCACCATCAATATCACTACTTGCCTATGGAAGATGTAATGTTTATCAGCTAGGGAGAGTCCCCATAGCCAGCCCACAGTGGGTGTGTGTGCACTTAACACAGTGAAGTGTTGAGACTGCCACACAAAATGAGCAGTCCTGGTTTTTATTACCGAGGCAATACCACCCAGATGAGAATGTTTGGTTTGGAAAGGGGCTTACCTCAAGGGAAATTTATCCTACCTGCCCCTTCTTCATGCTCAGCCTAAGTTGCCACATGCCCGTGCCTGCAAGCTTGGTGATAAGCCAGCAAAACCTCCATAGATGGCATTTTGCAGAAGCACAATACATGCAAGGACTTTGTAACATATTTAGGTGTTAGGCAAGGAAAATATGTAGCCACAGAAACACTACAATTGTGTAACCTGGTAAATAATAAATCTATACGAGGTTTCAGGTTGCAGATGGAGCAAAGCACATAAGAGGTATCAAAGCTGATGGGCCAACTCTTCCAGGCAAAGGTGTTCTGAAATTAAGTGGGCAAAGCTGCATTCATTATTTCAGAAGGCTTTTGTACCATTGTGTTCTACTTAAACTGCCCACACACCTAGCTGTGCTTGGCCCAGCTTTCATTCTGCAAATGAATGTATTAACTCTGATCACGTTAACCCTGATCACATTCCAAACCAAGGAGGACCTCGAAGCCACCACAGGTTTGGGAGCTCAGTATTTCAATCAATTGATTTGCAGTGTCTTTCTTTTGGGACAGAGAAAGATTCCTGGCTCCTTTTATCCTCACAAGCAGGTAGTCAATGGCTCTGTGGAAATTTCAGGATATCAGCAGTGACTTGCATTGGAAATCAGCTGTTCCTGCTGACACTGGTGAGAACAATGCTCACACCCCTGGGAAGGAGCCAAACTGTTTTTGTGCTGCTGCAGCACTTTTGCAAAAGAACCAAGAACTATCTTTAAAAAAATCCTGACTTGGGAATACACAGTGCCCTCCAACTATGTTCTATTTCTAGCTGTATTCTAATTGCAATCTAATTTGCTGTTAAAAAATACTAATAAAGAGAGAGAGAAAAAAAATGCCATTAATCTTGATGATGTCTGGATGTTCTGAAAAGATATCTATGGACTGGCAGAATATATCGAAATGGTAAAAAGCTCTTTCCTTTTGGCTCGTGCACATGACTTCTGTTCCTCCTCAATATGTAATTAAACCCCAACAAAAGAAAAGGTTATAAATTAATTAAGAAATTTAATGGGATATAACTGCCATCAGATTGTTGGAGAAAAAAAACCCCAAAATCCTAACCTAACCAACCAACCCAGTCTAGGAAAGCTTGTTTCTCTTGGCTTTGTTGTCTTGCATTTGGATTATTTAATGTCCATTAGGACACTAGATTTAATCAAAACTTTTCTCATGGTGTAGGTGCTCACTAAGTTGTTAGTGAGAAATCACTGGTGGCTAAAAATACAGTTTTACTTTTGATGCTACTCCTCCTCTGAGGAGGAAGATGTGGACCATTTTGGGTTGCTATATTCTACCTAACTGCCCTTGCACCCAGAGCTCCTGGGACTTTGCACCTGTGCAATATCCCTTAACCAAATCTGAAGCTGTTGGCCAGCATAAGTGCAAGTCACAAGGATGAATAAACAGAAATATTCAGGCACACAACATGTGATTATATAATCCTGTTTTGAACAAGCAGCAAGCATAAAAGTATTTCAAAAATCAGGATACAAATTAACAGAAGGAAGAAACTTAAAAGTAAAGCTAGAAGACTTGTATCACCTCTCCAATTACTGCCTTTGAGGAATTTATATTGAATTTTAGTCTTAATTACACCAGAAAAAAAAGGCTGGTGCCATGAAAATTTTTGGGAGGGAATGAAACAGGAGAAAACAGACTGGAGGTGATAACAGGTATAAATGAGAAAAAGGTAAACTTTAAAAAGGAAATTTCTTCTATTTGTGGAGAAAACCTCTAATGCTTCCAGGCTGTCCTAAATCCTCCTATGGCTCCTGCCCGCATCCTGTAACCACTTTAATGACTCCCTCCTTCATCCTGTTTGTAATCCGAGTCCTGTAGCTCACTTCTAAACATTTCAGCAACCCCCACCCCTACGGCCGGGGATGTGGCTTCCCAAATTCTGCCTAGAGAAACACTAGGTCACCCTTCTCAGGGTGGCTCTTACCTTGCTCCCTGTGCCCCCGCCCAGCCACCATCCCCAGTGCACGCCCCTCCACAGACGGAAGAATAGAAACAGATGCTGCGGCACTGCCCGACACTATCGGGCATCTATTCCTCAGGGTCTTTGGCACAGAGAAAGACTGAGAAGCTACAGAATGTTTAACACCTATCCTGTCACCTTCTATTCAAATTGTAATAAGCAGCACCTCCACAGAGAACAAGTGGTTGGCGACTTCGCCTAAGGCATTCACATCTGGATAGCCTCTGGGTATCTGGTAAGGGGTGGGTTTATTTTAAAAGCTTATTCTGATGAAAAAACTCATGGTATCTCCAAAACCAGATGGTTCCTACATATCTTTTCTAAAACTGAACAGTACTTCAAGACTGCCAGAAAAAATTTCTTCTTGTGATATAATCAGGAACTGTACAGGCTCGCAGGCTGCCCATGAACCAGTTATACCAGCAAGCACAAAACTCAAAAATGACAGACAGCAGAAAGCCTTATGAAGAAAGGTAGGAAAAACCACCTCAAGCTATTTCTTGCACTGCAGAATCCCAAGGTGCTCCCCAGCTCTCAGTGAGGATGAATCCTGAATGCACACACTCCTCTCCATCACCACTGGGAGGAAAGACCCTGTTAATGTTAGTTTCGTGATTAGAAAACCGTTCACTGGGGCACGTGAACAGGGAGCAGTATCCCTCACAGACCTGTCTGTCTGGTGCTTAGTCTAAGAAAGTGCACTGGGGCACGACTTTCCCTTCCACAGCTGTCCTGAGGCCGAGGGAATACACAGGTGAAGCCGGTTTTAGCTGGAAAGGAAAGCACCGTCCTTTCCACACAAAGCAAAAAAGAAGAAGACAGAGAGTGTGGTATGCCCAGAAGATTTTCTCCTCAAGCTGACAGTTGGGTTGAAATGAAGATCCAGTCACTCTCACAGCAGCAGTCATGCTCAAACATGATTTTAATCTTTCTCCTTTCCAGGGTTGTACACAAGCAAAATAAGCCACTGCCCTGAAACAAGTTTTAAGGACATGGAGTGACATCCCCCAATCTCAGTCACAAATTCTACCTTCCTCTCAGCACTTGCGTGACCAAGAGGCAGAGTAAAGGTGCGCGATTAGCACAGTCCCAGAGAGCTTCCTCAGTAAGGCGCTGTTGTAATCTCTGGGCTGTTTGTACACAGCCCCTTATAAATCCTGTCATGACCACAGCTCTGAGGAAACTGGACACAACCAGGGTGGGATTGATGAAAACGAAAAACCTCTACCGTTTGAAATAGCACTGCCAACCTGTGCCACCTGTGCCCTCCCGCAGGACCGAAGCAGGACAGGCTGCGAGCCTCAGGCAGAGTTAACTCTCTTGTCTCAGACTCTTCGCCCGGCTTTTGCTGGGGTCATTCCCATGGCTTGCCAACCCCTCTTCAACAGAACCCACCCAGCCCCTCGCCCGTGCCCAGCTCCTGAATCTGCCAAGAAGAGTTCCATTGCATCGCCCTGTGCAGCCTTGCCATCATCTCTCGGTTTCTGGCTGCCCGTGGGGCTGCCAGCTCACGACTTAATTCGGCCGGGAGCCCCTCACCAGAAAATCACTTCCCTTCTCCTCGCCTGCCTCCCACCTGCCTTTGGCCACGATTTTAGCATTACCTACAGCCTTTCTGATGCAACTTTACGCACTGGAGGAGGCGGCAATGCGAAAAAACGCCGCCAGGCACGGGCCCCGCAGGTGCTCCGCGTCTGCTGGGCGGGGGCGAGCAGCGCTCGGGGCGGCCGCCCGGGCTGCCGGCTCTGCCTCATCGCGCCTCGCTGCTCACTCGCTGTCCGCCCGTCCTCGGGGCTCTCCGAGCTCCAGGCAATGCCCTGCGCCCGCGCACGTCCCAGTCCCCGCTGTCCCACCGATGTCCTTCACCCGAAGACAGCTGCTGTCGGGTTTTCAGCCGGCTGCTGGAGGTCAAACGGGATGAAAATGCAGCTAGCAGGGAAAGGACAAACTCCAGCGCTCACAGGAAGCCTTGGTGAATGTTTAGTGCGCTGAAAAGAGTTTCCAAGCCTTCACATGGAAATGTTTGCCTCTCTTCTCCTCTTTCTCCAATGGTGCTTAAAATAAAGACTGCTATTTCAGCCATAAAAAGAGTTACACTACTTTAAGAGTTGATTTAATTATAGCTCTAGTGGTTTTAGTGTAGATTCATGAATTGCTTTCAAGATTTTCCTTCCGTGGCTAAATGGAAAGCTCTTAGTTGTGGTTTGGCAAATGCACAGTGAGGGAAAAGTCTGCCAATGCCTTAAATAAGCAGCTTGTTAGGGGTACAGCATGGGGTGACCATTTCTGGAAAATCCGACTGGCTGGGGATCTCACCTGCTTCCCTGATTCATGCACTCACAGTGTGAGTCCACACGCTCTTCCACTATTAAACGACAAAACTATCTGGGGAAAGAAGTTTTTTCCAGGTCGAAGTGCTGCCACCTTTGTACACTTTCTTGGAAATTCTGGACAATCACACATTGTAAGTGGTGACTGACAGGTCACTTTTTCCCTTAAAAACACAAGCTCCCCCACTGTGCAGAGAAGTGGTGGTTTCTTACAGCATTACAGAAGGTGAACGAGCTGCTGTCTCCTTTCTGCTGGATGATGTCATGCCCCAGTTTCCTGGGTACCCGAAGTCCACAGAATGGAATCTGGACTCATTTGGTTTGTTTGTTTCCTCAGATGGCTGGAAAGTGAATAAATCTGTATTTTCTTCCATGATGGCTATGCTCTGCTGTTCCTGTGTTCCCAGACGTGACTTGAATTAAAACAGCTGTGCAGTATCTTGTTATTGCCCTGGTGACTGCGCTGTGCACTGCCCACCCCACCACAGGGCAATTCTCAATGGCATGAACTGCATGCTAGCAAGATCTGGAGCTGTGCTTCCTGCCCTCCATTCACATCCTTTTTGGCTATGCTTTCTTCCTCAGCTGGCCCCTGCTGACAGCCTGGCTGGGATTCAGTCCAAAGCCAGGACACATTCAGCTGTCCACAAGGAGGTGACTACGCGTGCTCTAGTTTGCTTAGACTTTCAGCGTGGCCAGAGGAAAACTGGTT